GAGTGCTGGGATTAAAGGCGTGCGCCACCATCGCCCAGCATTGTCCCTTCAGATCTTTCTTCCCAAGTCATCTGTGGAAAAGAACTCGGTGTGTGTGCCTGCGTGCTCATGTGAATGTGTGGTTTGCACATGCCACAGAACACATGTAGATGTTAGAAGACAACTTTTGAGAGAGTTGTCTCCTCTGTGCCGAGTTCCAGAAATTGAACTTGCATGGCAAGGCTTTTGCAGCGAGCCCTTTTACCCAGTGAGCCATCTCTTTAGGCCCAAGAACTGTGCAATCGTTAGGAAAAGGCTGCTTTCTTTCGTGATTTGTAAACCATACGTATTGGCTGTAACTTTCAAAAATAAATGTTTTTTATTTCCTTTCTTTGTTTTGTTTTTGTTTGTTTGTTTTTTCAAGACAGGGTTTCTCTTTATCTTTGGAACCTATCCTGGAACTAGCTCTTGTAGACCAGGCTCGCCTCCAACTCACAGGAATTCACCTGCCTCTGCCTCCCGAGTGCTGGGATTAAAGGCATGTGCCACCACCACCTGGCCTAAACTAGTATTTTTATTTAAGCTTCCATCGTTACTTTTGAAAATATTTGTTTTTATTCTTTTCAATTATGTGTGTGTTTCTGCATGTGGCACATACAGAAAGTTTTGAACCATCTGTTGTGGGTGCTGGGAACTAAACTCAGATCTTCTATATGTGCAGCAAGTTCTCTTAACCATCATCTCTCCAGCTCTGTTACTTCTTGGCTTTAAAATTTATATGTTTATTTTACATGTGTGTTTTGCCTGCATGTAAGTGCACCACATGCATGTCCAGTACCTGTGGAGCCAGAAGAGGGCATTAGATACCCTGAAACTGGGGCTGGAGAGATGGCTCAGAGGTTAAGAGCAAGGACTGCTCTTCCGTAGGTCCTGAGTTCAATTCCCAGCAACCACATTGTGGCTCACAACCATCTAAAATGAGATCTGGTGCCCTCTTCTGGCACCTGCATGGAGGCTGAACACTGGGTATATAATAAATAAACAAATCTTTAAGAAAAAAAAATGGATACCCTGAAACTGTAGTTTCAGTTTTCTGGGAACAGTCATATGCTGGGAACCAAATCCAAGTCCTCTTTGAGAATGGCAAGGGCTCTTACTTTCTTAAAACCTTTGTGACATTTAAACATAACACATCTTTTTTCTTTATATCCTTTTTCTAGAGACAGGGTCTTATTCTGGCTGGCCTGGGAGTTTCCATCCCCCTGCCTCAGCATTCCAAGTGCTGGGATTATATGTGTGCACCACCCACCATACCCAGCCACACAAAACAAAGTCGGGTGAGAAAAGGGTTCCCACTCCTCTGTGCCAGGGCTTCCTGTAACGAGGTAGGGACAGGGACTCTGCACGCAGAATGGAGAAAGCTCAACCCTCTTCTTGGCACGGGGGTTGTTTGTACCTGCATACTCACAGTCACTGAAACACTAGACACAGGCATGCCTAAGAGGCTGAATAAATTGCCGGGCAGTGGTGGCACACACCTTTAATTCCAGCACTCAGTATGCAGAGACAAGAGGATCTCTGAATCTGAGTACAGCCTACTCTACAAAGTGAGTTCCGGGACAGCCAGGACTGTTACATAGAGAAACCCTGTCTTAAAAAACAAAACAAAAAGACAATTGAACAAATCAGCTGGCTGTGGTGACTTACACCTTTGATCCTAGCACTCGGGAGGCAGAGGCAAGAGGATCTCTGAGTTCAAGGCTAGCTCTGGTCCACAGAGTTAGCTCCAGGACAGCCAGGGCTACACTGTAAAACCCTGTCTCAAAAAACAACAACAAAAATAAATAAATAGGAAAAAAGAAAACTGAACAGGCCTGTTCAGATATACAAACATTCTTTTTATACCTAAGAGAAACCCCATACTCACTGAAGGCTACTGAGTCCATGCTGCAAGAGTAAAAGCATTTAATTTACCACACACCTCAGAAAGCTCCAGGTAAGATATAGGTAGGAATATACACAAAGAATTCAGAGTATAAAACTCTCCAGGTAATTAGTAGTCATATTAATATTGGAACTGCAGTAGACAAAACTAGCTACCTCCCGGACTGTACCGGGAGCCTGACCGTAGCTCTGAGAGACTGGAGGTGTTCTGAGTGGGCAGGAAGCTGAGACTATTCTTCCAGTTCTCCCAAGAGCTCAACAAAGTCAGTGATGTACCACTTGGCGTTGCTCTTGACTTGTTGCCTGATCACATTTCCTCCAAACCCAATGAAAGCATCCTAGGAAGGAAAGTGGGGAGGGGTTAACGTCTTTTCAAACGGCACACCCAGAAACATATAAAATAAACAAAATATATGTAAGTGAAAATTTATGTACATACTTAAAAAACATGCATACATACATATGTATGGGTGTATTGCTATTTATATGTATATATGTGTATGTATCTATATATACCCAGTATTGTTCTCTCTGCTTCCAATTGCTGATAGAATGTAATCCATCAGCTATTGCTCCAGCACCTGCCTGCCTGCCACCATGCTCCCCACCATGATGATGACAGAGTAACCCTCCGAAACTGTAAGCAGGCTCCCTATCAAATGCTTTCTCTGGCTGTCCTGGAACTCACTCTGTATTCCAGGCTGGCCTCGAACTCACAGAAATCCGCTTCCCTCTGCCTCCCGAGTGCTGGGATTAAAGGTGTATGCCACCACTGCCTGGCTCAAATGCTTTCTTTTATATGTTGCCTTGGTCACGGTGTCTCTTCACAGCAATGGAACAGTGACTAAGACACTTCATGCATGTTCCTAAGCTGAATGTCTTTTGGTTGCTTTGTGTTCTTATCATGACATTTAGCTGTTTTAGTTTAACTTCTGCTGTTAACTTCATAGGGTTTTCAGCCAGACATAGAAAAAAAAAATTACCACCTGAAAAAAACCAGAAAACAAAAACCCAGCACCCTTGAGTACATACGGCGGGAGGGCAGGCTTCCATGTCTGTAGCTCCATCTCCAATCATGATTATTTTCTTAAAGTGGAATTTTTCCTTTAAAAATCGAATAACCTTTCCTTTCCCACCAGACTCGGCTGTTGGCTGCATCTCATCAAAACCTGCGTATTCACCTTCAGAGGACAGTGAGAAGATGTTAGGTCCACAGCTTGTTCATATGGATGACGCCGAACTTAAGTGTTAAGTCTAAAACAGCCCTGGGTTGGTCACACAGCATGGGACCTGACCCATATTCCCGAGGAGGTGGCTCTAGTGGGTCACCTGGGTTGAACTAGCTGCATCTTCTCAACTTCTGATGTAGCCGTTTTAAGCCTTGTTGAGATATCAGACCACCATAATACATTAATTTATATATTATACATAATATATTACATGTAATACATTGATTTATCACATGAATATAGTAACATTACCTAAAGGAATTAACCAACTTTCCTTACTTTTTTGAAGATAGGAGCTCCTGTAGAGCAGGTTATCCTTGAACTTACTATGAATCCTAGGATGATCTTGACTCTCTTTCAGACGGGGTCACTTTGTAGCTCAGGCTGGTATAGAACTTGAAGAAATTCTCCCACCTCGGCCTCCCAAGTGTTAAGAGTGAGTCCCCAGGCCTGGTTCAACTCATTTGTTTTGTTTGTTGGCTTAGTTAGTTTTGTTTTTATTTTTAAAGATGGAGTCTAAGTAGCCAAATATGACCTTTAATTCCTAATCCCCTGGCGCTGCTTCCCAAATGCTGGATTACATAGGTATTCTCTTCCCCAGCTTCAAGATAGGGTTTCTCTGTGTAGCTCTGGCTGTCCTGAAACTCACTCTGTAGACCAGGCTGGCCTCGAACTCAGAGATCCTCCTGCTTCTGCCTCCCGAGTGCTAGGATGAAAGGCGTGCGCCACCAAGCTTGGGAAGGGACGTGCACACTATGGCACCTGTGTGGAGGTCGGCAGACAACTTTGTGGGGTCCGTTCTCTCCTTCCACTTTTATGTGAGTTCCAGGAACTGAATTCAAGTCAGGCTTTTTGGGCGATTTCTTTTACCTGCTGAGCCCTCCCTGGCCCTCATGGGGTTTCAAGACTACTCGCTACCTGTGCTATGACATAACTACAGAGCTTCTGGCTCTTTTGTAACAGGGTTTCATACAGCCCAGGCTATCCTAGAACTTACTGTGTGTCCTAAGATGACCCTGAAAGCCTGATCTTCCTGCTTCCACCTGGGAGTATAGGTCGGAACCAACCTGCCTGGTTTAAGTGCCAGCCAGTGCTTTAGGCAGGCTGGGCAAACGCACTACCAAGGGACCCCACCCTGGCCCAATAGCACTCTCTTTGCTGTTTATTTTGCTTTCCATTACTTATTATGCTTTATTTGCGCGCGTGTGCGTGCGTGCGTGTGTGTGTGTGTGTGTGTGTGTGTGTGTGTGTGTTTGTGTGTGTGAGGAGGCTGTATATGTGGGTGAAGGTGTGTGGAATCTGGGCTATTGTGAGCTGCAAACCAACACTCTGGGAACAAACGCAGGTGCAATGACAGCCTGGACCCAGTTAACTGTCGAGCCGTCGCTCATCCTGTTTTTAGAGACTAGGTTTTGTTCTGTAGTCCACACTGGACTCCAACTTGAAATACTCCTGCCTCAGCACCTCAAGAGCCCAGCATCACTGGAGCCCTCTTGAGACGATGTAATCGGTAGCTGTGACCCCAGGTGTCCCCAGGGCAATGGAAATGCAGCAACTCATTAACCAGACTCCTTCTTGGGTCTGCATTGCTCCAGACACAGTAAAACAAACAACCGGCCCTCAACTGTAGCATCACAGAATAAGCCAGCAGGCTAACATTTTAGATTGGTGGCAGCATGAATATGCAAAATCAAGCCAGGGCGGATGACCTCAGCCTGTTTTGCAGAGTAAAGAACACCAAAGTGCAGAGGCTATCAGTCAACAGAGCCTTTCGCACAGGGCTGGAGAGAGATGGCTCAGCAGCTCAGAGTGCAAACCGCTCCTGCAGAGGACCAGGGTTCAGTTCCCAGCACCCGAGCCATCTCTCACAATAGCCTGTAACTCCAGCTGAGCTGCAAGAGATCTGGTAAGCTCTTCTGGCCTCCGAGGGCACTTGTATGACACACACACAGACACACACACGCGCACACACATACACACACGCACACATACACACACATGGATTTTTCTTAAAGATTTGTTTTATTTATGTGTGTGGATGTTTTGCCTGCGTGCTTGTTTGTCACCACACGAGTGCCTGGTGCCCTTGCAGAAGAGGGAGTTGGATTTCCTGGAACTGGAGTTACATTGCTGTGGATCGTCCAATGTGGGTGCTAGGAACTGAACCCAGGTCCTCTGGAAGAGTGCCTAGTGCTTTTAACCCCTAAGCCACCTCTCCAGCCCCCAAACTCTTAACCCCAGAACCACCACTCTTTTAAGTTACGTTTCAACAGACACTAACTAAAATACTAAACAACAGAACAGATAAGAAAGGAAATATATTACCATTAAAATCTTACCATTAGCCAGGTGGTTAAAAAATCTTACCATTGAAGTAGAATTTCAGCCTATTGGCAAATACGTTGGCTGTTGGGATATTGAGCTTCGCAGCAACGTGCTCCACGATACTCCTAAAGCCACCAGATATGAGGAACACCTGCACATTGCGCTCCTGTAGGCGACTGACCAGCTCCCTACAAAATAAACACAACATACAAAACAGCAGTTAATACAAAAAGGAAACATGAAAATGGTGCTCTTTTTTTTATTATTTTTTTCTTAGCTCCAATGCTGGAAGTCCATCTATAAAGATAATGCCTATGGGATTAACATTTTCTATGTTTGAGGAGGGGCTGGTAAGGTGGTGTTCGTTTGGGTTGTGTGTGTGTGTTTTTAAGATATATTTATTCATTATGTATACAACTTTCTGCCTCCATGTATACCCACATGCCAGAGGAAGGCACCAGATCTCATTACAGGTGGTTTGGAGCCACTATGTGGTTGCTGGGAATTGAACTTAGGAGCTCTGGAAGAGCAGACAGTGCTCTTAACCACTGAGCCATCTCTCCAGCCCCTGGGCTGTGTGTTATTGAACTTCTGTCCAGTCGGAGTGGCCATTCGGAAGCCATGAGTCTCTCTGCTGAGGCTTGGCCCTTTCCCTAGCAATTACATTTTTCTTCACGTGCCCACTTTTGTGTTCTTTTGTTGTGAGGTTGTTGTCTTTTTCATTGTTCTTTGTTTCTTTGTTGTTGTTTGTTTTGTTTTTCTTTTTTTTTAATTTATTTATTATGTATACAATATTCTATCTGTGTGTATGGCCAGAAGAGGGCACCAGACCCCATTACAGATGGTTGTGAGCCACCATGTGGTTGCTGGGAATTGAACTCAGGACCTCTGGAAGAGCAGGCAATGCTCGCTCTTAACCTCTGAGCCATCTCTCCAGCCCTATTTTGTTTTTCGAGACAGGGTTTCTCTGTAGCTTTGGAAGCTGTCCTGGAATAGCTCTTGTAGACCAGGCTGGCCTTGAACTCACAGAGACCCACCTGCCTCTGCCACCCGAGTGCTGGGTTAAAGACTTGTGCCACGACTGCCAGCCCAGCTTGTTGTTGTTTTTGAGACAAACTCTTGCTATGTAGCCAGACTGGCTTTGAACTCACAAGAGCAATCCTGCCTGAGCTACCTCTGTGCTAGCATTTCAGATGTGAACCAACACCTATTCTTAGCTTTTTTGTTTGTCTGTTTTGCTGGCTGATTTTGAGATAGGATCTCATGTGTCTGTGGATTATTTTGAACTTTTGATAACCTGCCCCCACCTCCTATGTCCTAGGATTACAAGGGTATGCTACACAGACACCCGCCTGTGTGTGTGTGTGCGCGCGTGTGCGTTCTGAGACAAAGTCTCAATGTGTAACCCCGGTTAGCTTTGAACTCAAGACCCTCCTGTCTCAGCTTCATGAGAATTATGAAATGTGCACCACCATTCCCAGCATTATATGTGTTTTTCAGATGTGCTTAGAAATTAATGGGTGGGACTTCTCTGTTTCTGGAAACCATTGCACTAACGTTAAGATAAAGAACTCCTAGAGAAGCCTGGTGAAAGCATAAAGTCAAACATACACGAGACCAGAGAGTGAGATAAGAGCAGATGTAAGTACCAAGAGAGCCCTGCAGAAGGCAACAGCAACAGATACTCTCTGGAGGAAGGAGTTCCGCAAATCCCCAAGCTCATAGCAAGACAGTATGCCAAGGGCCAAGACTGTGCTTTACCTTATCCCGGGGGTCAGGTGTGGGGGGTGCTCAGCTAGGAGCCTTTGCACCTGCTCCCTAGAGGGCTGGATCAGTGCCAGGCGTTCAGTGAGCGCGTCTTTGAAAGGCAATGCTCCTCCCATGGCTTTCCGTGTCCTAGGAGGAAGACCCACGCACAATCAGGCCAGCCGGGTTAGCTGTCCTTGAAGTCAACATGCCTTCCTATGCCAGGACTTCATGATAACCATCAGGAAGGTGTTGCCACGAGCCCAACTCTACAACGACGGGCATGCTGCATGCCGCGTACAGGAGGGGTCTGCTTGGGAATCACACAGGGACTCTGACACCATGGACTGTGCATCCACAGACGGGACAGAAACCCTCACATCCCAAACACAAGCACCTTGCTTACAAACTATAACCTCGAAAGAAACCAAAGGCTGAAAGTTCCTGTATCAAATGCAGCCATAGCTCAGGAAGGTGTCGCTGTGGCAGATTAGGGAGGGCAAAGGGAAGAGACAGAGCTTCTGACCTGGCATCTCTCTCCACTGAGGCAGTAGGGTTGCACTTTTAACCTTGACTGGGGGCACTGAATACTTAGAGCCCCAGGCTACCTTCTTGGATTAATCATTTTCCCAGCCTCCTCTGCAGAGACATTCATGTTTTGCTCCCTTTGTTTGTAATAGAATATTTGCAGATGGACAGGTGAAGACAGCACTCAGCACTCTACCACTGGGGGGGGGGGGTAATCTGGAGTTTTGTCTTAGCACTGGGCCAAAACCAGAAGCTAGGAACTGAGACCTTAGCCTTTCATCCGGTCTTTTTGTTGCTGTTGTTTGTTTGTGGTTGGAACTCACTCTATAGACCAGGCTGGCTTCAAACTCACAGAGATCTGCCTGCTTCTGCCTCCCTGAGTGCCAGGATTAAAGGTGTGCGCTACCAGGCCCAGTTGCCCATTGCTTTTTAAAGACGTGGTGACTTCTTTAGCATCTCCCAAAGGGAATAAAGACAGCTCGTACATTTCAGACACAGCCGCCTCCACACCGCAGAATTTGGCCAGCTCATCAATGCCTTCCTCTCGGATGACTGTACTGTCGACATCAAAGCACACCGCATCCGCCGAGCAGATGAGTTCCCTCAGCTCCGAGTGGGAGACCATCCTGGGAAGAACGTTCCTCCTAGAAAAGAGGGAGAGAAGTGTGCTTAAAGATGTCACATAGAGTCAGTCACAAGGGGCGGGGCGAGGGGTGTGGCTCAGCGGGAGTTTGTTCAGCATTCACGAAGCCCCAAGTTTCGCCTAAGCCAGGTGTAGCGATGTATGCCTAGGATCCCAGCTCTTTGGAGGTAGAAGCAGAAGGATCAAGAGTTTAAGATTGGGGCTGAAGGCCAGGTGGTGGTGGTGCACTCCTTTAATCCCAGCACTCGGGAGGTGGAGGCAGGTGGATCTCAGTGAGCTTGAGGCCAGCCTGGTCTACCAAGCAAGTTCCAGGACAGCCAGGACTGTTACACAGAGAAACCCTATCTTGAAAAACAAAAAACAAAAACAAAAACAAAACAAAACAAAAGAAAGGATTGGGGCTGAAGAGATGGCTCAGTAGTTAAAGTGCTTGTTGCTCTTTCAAGACCCAAATTCATTTGCCAGAACCCTCACCTGGCTGTTCACAACTACCTGTAACTCCAGCTCCAGGAGACCTATCACCCTCTCTAGCACATGCACACACACACACACAAACTAAAAATAGCAATAATAATTTTTTAAAAAGAGAGAGTTGCTGGTGGTGGTGACATATACCTTTAATCCCAGCACTCAGGTAGCAGAGGCAGGTAGATCTCTGTGGGTTTAAGGCCAGCCTGGTCTACAGAGTGAGTTCTAGGACAGTCAGGGCTACACAGAGAAACCTTGTCTCAAAAAAACAAAGTAGAGTGAGAGAGTTAGTTTAAGACCATCCTTAGCTCCGCAGCAAATTTGAGGCCAGTCTGGACTACATAAGACGCTGTTTCCAATAAAATGGTAACAGGGAGATGGTTCAATAGGTAAAGATGCCTGCGTCCAAACCTCCATCCCTGGAAGCCACACGGCAGAAGCGAAGAGAGGAATCTTGAAAAGTTGTCCTGTGACCTCTGTGCTCACACAGAAAAGAAAGAAAGCTTGTTCCGTAAATATATCACGTGATTCGACGGGACAGGACCATGAGGCACAGGTGAAGGGAAAGCTAGCCAGGAAGGCAAATTATGTAAGAGCTAAAACGAGACAGTGACAGAATAACCTACGGCCCGCAGGGCCTCAAAACTGTGAAAAGACAAATCCAGGCCAGGCACCTGGCATGGAACCTGTCAGCAACCGTGTCCTGCAGAGGCTCCCGGTGTTTCAGAGATGCTGGGCCGCATGGCGGTGCATGTTTGTGCTTGCAATCTCAGCCCTAGGGAGGGGAGGAGAGGGCAGGAGGATGGGGGCTAAAGGTCATCCTTGGGTACGCACTGGGTTTGGGTAATAGGGTCAAGGCAATCCTGGGCTAGAGATCCTGTCTCTAAATCAATAAATAGTGGGGATGGGTGGTGGTGCACACCCGTGTTCCCAGCACTCAGGAGGCTGAGGCAGGAGGATTGCGAACGCCAAGCTGGTGCTACTTAGTGAGCCTGGTCTAAAAAACACCTTGAAAAACCTTGGCGATAGGGGAAAACCAAGTTAGGCTGCTTCCAAGTAAATTGTGTACATTAGACGTCCACAGAGAGAAAGAAAAATCACTGCTGGGAAACGGACTCTGGAACTTTACATGGGGCTTTTGGGGGAAGGGAAGCCCAGAGATGAGGAGTGGACAGAGTGCCGGGAGAAAGGACTGTGTCCACACAGAGGCCCAGGCCCACCCACTGCCTTCAGGGGTGCAGACTGGGGCTCCGGCTCGGCAGTGAAGCCCACCTGACTTTGTTCTTAAGTTTGTGCTGACAAGCCTTTCTTCACCGGAGCTCCAAAGTGAAGAAAGGGGTTTCCCTTCGGGGCTTGGATTTAGGAGGCCCGGATTGGGGTAAGAGGAAGAAAATCTCCTTGCTTAAACAGATAGAAGCTCTTCCATCTAGTATCTTGTGCGAGGCACCTAAGGTTACAGGAGCTCTTTCCATTTGTATCAGCCATGCAAGCAGTGCACAGACATGCATATAGGAAAAGCACCCATACACATATAACAAAACTGTAATTTTAAAAAAAGAATAGGGGCTGGAGAGATGGCTCAGAGGTTAAGAGCACTGACTACTCTTCCAGAGGTCCTGAGTTCAATTCCCAGCAACCACATGATTCCCCACAGCCATCTGTAATGAGATCTTGTGCCTTCTTATGACATGTATATAATAAATAAATAAACTTAAAAAAAAAGAAATAAACTTCTTATAAACAGAAGTGACGTATGTTATGACAGACAATGCTTCTTCTCCTCCTCCTTCTTTTCAAAGACAGGTCTCCTATATCCTACCTGGTGTCAAACCTGCTACATAGCCAAGGGTAACCTTGAACTCCTGATCCTCCCCCGTCCTGAGTGCTGAGATGCCAGGCATGAACATTACACCTTCTTTATATGGTGGAACCCAGGGCTTTGAGCACAGTAAGCCTGCGCCCTACACACCAAGCCACATCCTCAAACCAACAGATGCTGCTTTTCACTCGATGAGGTTAGCTCACAGGCAAATCTAATGCCTGGACATACGAGTACTCACGATTGTCCAGAGCGGGATTCCTGAGGGACAGTGTCTTTCTCTTCCCCTTTGAAGGCAAAAATGCACCATAAACCTCAGGGTAGAGTTTTGTTTTAAAGAAATATCTGTGGATTTTGCAAGAGCCTAAAAAACAAACAAAGAGAGAGAGAGAGAAAATGAACAACCAGGAACAGAATAATGGCAAAGAAGGAGGTAGAAGGGCTGGGGTTTTGGCTCAGTTGGTAAAGTACTTGCCCGGCATGCAGCAAGCCTGGAGTTTCACCCTCTGAAGTTCATAAGCCAGGGTTGATGACCTACACCTATAACCCCAGCACTCAAGGGACAGAATCAGTCCAAAGGATCAGAAGTTCAAGGTGATCTTCGGAGTTAACAGTTCAAGGCAAGCCTGGGTTATATAAGACCCAGTCACAAACAGAAGGGTCGGGAGTGTGGGGGAAGGAAGACTGATAGACCTCCTAGTAAGATTGTTCCAACAAAAATTGCTTCCTCTGGGCTATGTTCAAACAGAGCAGAGAAGTAGTTACAGCCTTGTCCGTGGCTTCTACTCTGCCTGATGAACAGAACACAAAGAGGACCCGCAGGGAGAACAACCTACAGATACAGAATGAAGAGACTTGAGCAGAGGGTAGACCCAACAGTCCTTGCTTTCTTCAAAATATGACACACGTGTGTGTGTGTGCTGCCTCATGCCTGTAATTTCAACATTTGAAGGGCTAAGGAAGCCTGAGGCAGGAGGATGGCTCTGAGTTTTAATCCTGTCTCAGAAAGGAAAAGAAATAAATAACGGGGAGCTAGAAACGCAGGTGTGGCTCAGCGGTAGAGTGCCCTGGCCTGCGCTCCATGCTCAATACTACAAAACCACACAATCGATCAGTTAGTTACAAGTCAGGGAAACAAAGCCAAGAGCAACAGCGAAGGAGTCAGAATGATTCAGGGACTGGCAAGATGGCTCGGCCAGATAGAGATGCTCACCTTGAAACCCTGATGGACCTGGATCAATCCCTGGAGCCCTTGGTGAAAGAGGGGAACTGGTTCCTGAGTTAACCTCTGCCATCTACAGAGGCACCATGGCATATGTGTGTCCACAACCATTCTCGCAGTAATAATATATATACAGATATTTAAAGGAATTCTGGCGCTAGCCTCAAGGGAGCAAAGCTAACAACTGTGAATTGTGATTTCCATCACTAACACCAGGGAAGTACTCAGTGGCCAAGAGTTACTTAGTGGGCACCAGGTTCCATTCTCAGCACCACAAAAAGTTATTTTAAAAAATTAAGTAGATAGACCTGGATGGAGGTGGGTGGTCCTTGGACTTCCCACAGGGCAGGGAACCCTGATTGCTCTTTGGGCTGACGAGGGAGGGGATTTGATTGGGGAAGGGGAAGGGAAATGGGAGGCGGTGGCGGGGAAGAGACAGAAATCTTTAATAAATAAATAAATTTAATAAAAAATTAAGTAGAAGAAACAACAACAATAGAAAACATTAAAATGGAAATAGAAGCTGCAGAGAAAATGGCTCCACAGTTAAGAACACTACACTTGCTGTTCTTGCAAAGGACCTAGGTTCAAGTCCCAGGACCCAGATGTTATATCATAATCCTCTGTAGCTCCAGCTCCAGGGGATCTGATGCCCTCTCCCTCTTCTGACCTCTGGGAGGCACCAGGCGCACATATGGTGCACAGATATACATACAAGTAAAACATTTCACAAACACAAAATAAGTAAGTCTTTAAAAAATAAAACTGCACCAGGCGGTGGTGGCGCACACCTTTAATCCCAGCACTCGGGAGGCAAAGGCAGGAGGATCTCTGTGAATTTGAGGTCAGCCTGGTCTACAAGAGCTAGTTCCAGGACAGGTTCCAAAGTTACAGAGAAATCCTGTCTTGAAAAAAAATAAAATAAAATAAAATAAAACTGCAAATAACTAACATCCTGATACACACCCATAATCTCAGTGCTCAGGAGAATAAGGCACAAGGTTTTAAATTTGAAGTCAGGCTCTACTACATAGCAAGAGCCAGCCTCAAAAAAAAAAAATTTCAAGGCGGTGGGTGCCAGGAAAACAGCTCACACGGTAAGGTCCAACCTAAGTTCAATCACTAGAATGGTGTTTTTAAAAATGCCAGGGGATGGTCAAATGGCTTGGTGGATAAAAACACTTACCGTGCAAACCTGATGACCTAAGTTCAATTCCCAGAACCTAGAATAGCCTAGAAAAAGGAAAAACTGATTCCAAAAAGTTGTATTCTGACCTCCACCCGAGCACTTGTACACCCCCACACTCACACACAAACATTTGGTCCAGCACATGCACGAGTGTGCCCTCAGGTACACAAGTCTCTCTCTCTCTCTCTCTCTCTCTCTCTCTCTCTCTCTCTCTCTC